TATATATATATATATATATATATATATATATATATATATATATATATGGTAAAATAATTTAGTAAATTCAACAAATAAAAATAAAACAGAAAAGCGACATCACATGATGATGTGTTGGCTACTGAACCTGCATGCAACTTTTCCCAATCATAACCGAACCAAAATGGTGCATTCACCTACTCTTCACATACCTTTTTGTAGTGACCGTGTGGGAGCTTTGAAGTAAGCTGTTTGTTTTTTTGCTCTTTACATCCTCGGTTCATATACTCTCAACATGTGCTCAGTGATGAAAAAGAATCGGTAATCCGACTTCCTGACTGTAGCTTTCTACCTGCAGCTTAACCCAACTGACTCGTTGGGTTTGTTTGATTGTATTACTCACATCGATGACCGTGCGAGGGCAACATGCTTGAACTGGAAACACAGGTATGTCGCAACGACGAGGCTCAGCATTATGAGAAGATATCTTTTTCTTTTTTCAATGCGACATTTACTGCCACTCCCATGTTATTTCTGCAGGCAGTTTTTGTCCTCTTATTAAAACACGGTAACTGCACCCACTGCAGTCTTGACTGAACACGTTCAATGCTCGAATCTGATGCGTGAATCAAATAAGACTATGGTCTTTGTATGAGCAACATCATTATTTGTACGTAAAAAGAAATATATGCAAGTAAAGTCAACCTCAGTTATCAGATGGAGCCAAACTAGTATTTTACAATGATATTAGGCCATATGATATTTGTGAAGGTGTTGCTTGAGAACAGAATTGTTTCAAAGCACACAAACCAGAGAGCAAGTGATTGTTTAACATTAGGACAGTTACTATTACAGAACTATTCAACTACCTAAATATATCTCGCCAAGAAAGAAATGCACATTTTCTTGTGTTTTTAACAAATGCCGAATGACACAAAACATAATATTCAGATTTACTTATTTTAATTAGTATCTCCGAGGTTAGATAGGTTCATGTGTGAAACCTGAACATATTACTATTTTAAACTAGTAATCTGTTGTATCGACTTTTTTTTCCTACCAATCCATACTCTGACAAATCCTATTCACCCACTGCTTTTTATAAAAGGGACAGGTCGTAGCTGTCCCCTCAGCTGGGAACCTGCATGACAAGAGTAGTATATGGGTAGCACCAAGGCGCGTGCACGTTTACTGAACAAGTTTGCGCGTGCTCGTGGGGAATTTGTTACAAGTCTGTATCCGACTGTTCAGGCCACAAAACAGTACCCTGTTGGACATCCGCAGATTATCTTTAAGGATTTCGATTCTATCGATAATTATTTTGGGTTTGTAAAGTGTACTGTGCTCCCCCCTAAAGGAGTATACCATCCTGTCCTACCCTACATATGTCACAATAAACTCATGTTCTGTAGTGTGCTGAAGATTTGAACCAGACTAGTGCATGTACACACCGTGACAGAGACAGACAGCTGTTGGGTGTGTGGGTCTCTTTCGAGCTTCAGAAGGCGGTTGAAAAGGGTTATCAGATTGTGTCCATTGATGAAGTGTGGCATTTCCCCAACACAACAGATACCTTGTTTAGGGATTATGTCAAGACATTTCTGAAGTGTAAACAGGAGGCATCGGGCTACCCGGGGCATGTTAAAACACCGGCAGATCAGGAGAAATATGTCAGTGATCAGTTCACAGGAGGGCATATTGTTCTGCATGCTAAATTGGCCCCACAAAGAGTTTAGGAGAAGTTTAGTACAACTTCTCATCGCTTCGTTGACCTTGATTTTGCTGGGATCAAGTTTAATGACCTCCTTTTCGGAAAAAACGCTCACGCATAATGCAAATTTTCCCATGAGCACGCACAAACATGCACGCGCCTTGGTTCCACCCATATACTACTGACAAGGATCTCTTAACAACATTTCAACCTTTGACCTGCTGCTACAGTAACTCACTGTAATTTGTTATATTTATGTCAATATTAATGTCATTTTACGTCCTTTCATTGTAATTTGACTTATTACCTCTGGGTTACTGTGGCTTTGTGGCTTTGCCAGACTTCAGAGCAGTTTCTTTAATCCGGCTGCCAGTCTCCTAAATTCCTAATCCACCCTCTACAGTAATTATAGTTTTGTTTTCTTTTGTTTCGTGTGTGTGTGTGTGTGTATATTTTCTCATGAAGCAAAATTGGACTACAAACTGCATTTTTGTTGCGCAACCCACTTGCACAATGACAACAAATGCACCTTGTAACTTGTAAACTTACTTTGTAATGTTGTCTTTTGAAACATGCATTACAAACAAAACTTATATTGTCACTATTATTACATACTGCTTTGCTTCATTTATTTTGATCAAGGGACGACGTATTAAGGATGCCACACAATCAAAACCTCTTCGAAGCACTTATATCATCAGAATGAGAAAAAATAAATTGCTCTCATATTCATATTTCCTTTATGATGAAGTAAAAAAAAAAAAGACAAATCTGAAACACATTCAAATGACTGCTGATCATCCAATTAGGGGCTGATTGATTGCTTGTCATGCCCTGACCTTTCGGAGTGCAATTTAAATCCGTGGATGTCTCGGCTCCAAGAGGAGCAACTGTCATTCTTGGCCGTGGCTCTTCCTGCTCGGACGAATGTGAGATGAGCCCTCCTCCATAACCCCCCACCATTAAAAAACTTCACAATATGCCCAACAACTACTGCACAGCAGAGGAGAGGGAATGCCCGGTATGTGCTTACAGCATCACAGCTCCTCTCACCATGGACTAATATGGCCAGGCCAAGAGGGGGACAGGACAATAACCCCATGCAGCACATTGCCACTGTGAGCAGCACAGTGTGGGGTGTTTTTCTATTTTCAAAGGGGGATATAACTTTCAGCGTGTGGGTCATTGGAGTGTTTTTGGTGAACATGATCAATGACTAATAGTGTGCAGATTTGTTTGACTGTGAACTTGTTCTGGCGTTCGGTGTAACATCAGAAATACAAACAAATCTCTGGCTCTATATATACATAGTCCACCTTCAAGCAGGTGCTTGGCACTCCCACCAGAGGGCAATGGTCAGCTGCAGTGGAACTTCATTTGTGCATTAACGTTCTGTCGCTTTGTACTGCTGAACCATCAAATTAACACTGCTAATGCATCCCAGTCTTATATTGGGTATAATTACCAT